GTCACAAGACCGCTGTGGTATAGTGTGGGGAAGATACTCCATCACATTTTGACACAGTTTTCCATAGTCTTTCCAGACCTCACTTTCAATCTGTGTAGTGCCACAAAAACCTTTCAGACTGTCAATCTCTGCGAGATGCTGGATGTTGTGAACTTCATCCCTCAAACCTGCAACAACAAGATCACTCCACATCATTTTGGAGAGGATAGATTTATTCTTGAAACCAGGCACCAAAGTATAGTCATGAAAAGCATCGGCAGTGTCGCTAGACATACCAACCTGAGAACTTACCTTCAATGGCTGCTTTGACTCTAGCAGAAAAACAATTGCCTCCTGGTTCCTTGGATGGATGCATGAGGGCGGTGGATGTGCCAGCCACTTGCACCTGAACAATGTACCAGAAATGTAAATAGGATAAAAACACTACATTAACTGCAGTAGATATTTCTACACCTGGTGGAATAGTATTCTGCATATCTAGATGTACATACTTTCCATGAGCGGAAAAGGCCTACCAGAAAATCATCGGAAACTGGATGTAACAGAAAAGCTCAAAATGTTGCACAATGGGCGGCACCAGAATCTGATGAATGTAGCAAGCTTTGTTCTACAGCATGTATTGTTTCCGGTAGATTGCATGTCACCTGCTACTATGCTGAGCTGTTAACCCCTTCGGCGTCAAGCGCTGCGAGCGAGCAACAGGCACGAAGCTCGCCGCTTCCTTGCTCATGACCTTGACTGATCAGTGGCTAGAATGTTATGTTCCGTTATATGGCTCTCCGCAGTCACTTGACATTTACCGAACAACGAACGATTACCAACAAATACGGTTAAAATGGCTTGAGTTTTGGCCAATCAACGTGCGACGATTGCCATGTCGCAGGGTAACGAATCAAAGACCAACAAATAGGGTTAAGACGTAGGACGATTGAAATGGCTTGAGTTTTGGCCAATCAAGGTGCGACATCTGCCATGTCTTAGGGTCAAGTATAATTCGAGTCTCACGCGGACGGTGAAAATTCGTTCCGAGTCCATGGTTTACGACTCACTACGTCGGAGAGTTGCCCCACACTCCGACGAAGAGTTGCTACTATAAGAAGCTGCACGGTCTGCAGTTTGTGCTCATTCGTAATTCATCAGTGCAGCTTCGCAGTTTGTGCTCATTCGTAATTCATTGGTAAAAAAAAGCAGCAGCTGCAAGCACCTTCCATTTTCACAGTAGCGAGTCGGGTGTACGCTCACTTCATAATAACCACTCTCCCATCGCGCCATCCCCTCCTACCTCAAGAGCAAAGCAGCTGTCGACGCGGTCTGATGGCCGCACGCGTGGACGACGCGGTCTGATGGCCGCACGCGTGGAGGGCGCGGTCTGATGGCCGCACGCGTGGAGGGCGCGGTCTGATGGCCGCACGCGTGAAGCTTGGTTGGCGTCCCGAAACGGCCAGAGGTACGGCCGCTCTGCCATGACTCCGCCCAAGACCGGCGCGTCCGGATCCCAGCCTTCCGCTCCGCTCCCGTCCCCCAAAACTGCTGCTAACTCCGAATCATCGTAAATTCGGACGTCTCCGCCGCCGACCTCTTCGCCGTACTCCTGGTCCGTTCTGACGATCCTGTCGGATGCTTCTGCGTCCGAATCCGCCCTCTCGCTACGGGCCGCTTCAACCGGGTTCCCGGACACCGCTTCCCCCGCCATGCTCGACCACCCAGCTGCGAGCTTCTTACAGCTCACCTGCACAGAAGAACTTGCAACCATTCATCTCGTGCTTCATTGCACGGTCAGTTATGCTGAAAAGTGGCCAAGTATGCATTGACTGATCCGCTGAGTTCTTCAAGCCCCTCCTACCCGCTTATGTGCGACGGCTCATCGAATAATACTTCGAAAAACAAACCCACCGATCGCACTTGCCCACGTCAACTTCGTGCTCTATTCAAACCATAGACACAACGTAAAACCCCTAGACCAGCTTCCAGTGAGGACTTCGACGAAACAAGCGGCCGCCGTCTGAAACAGGTCCACTGCGTAGAACTATCTCTCGGTACATATTCCTCATCACCCTGCTCGTATTTGTAACCCTAATTCGCCACAGAACGCATCAGCCGGAAAGTCAGCCAGATTATAAAGAGGCATGCACCACAACAGGACCCCCACACCCCGTCTCCGGCCGAACGAAACCTTCCCACATCGTGACCCCCTTCCAGAGAAACGATCTGCAACACAGTGAACACCCACATCCGAACCATAAGCATGAGACGAAGCACTCCTGCGCTACCATGCATCCAGATTTGCCCACATGTCTTTCAACTTTCCAGCACAAACAAAGCTCGCCTTACCTTTCACAGAATCAGACCAAATCACATCACAACCCTCTCTTCATACCATGACAGCACGCCACGGCAAGCCTCGCCACCTGCTGTTGATCTGACATTTGCACACCTTGTTACATAAGCCAATAGGTGTAATTTGCATGAAGATGGCGCGCATGCTGCAGCTTGGCACAGTTACATATCGGCGCCGTACACCCCTCCGTCAGCGCAGACGAACAGCAAACTTGGCTGCCTTCTGACAAAGAACTATGCAGATCGGCGAGCGTTGCCGCCTCTTCCGGCGCCCATTCTGAAGATGATCATAATGACAACATTCGATCTTCAATCGTCAGAACGCCGCGCGTTTAAAGAGCTTCAAGGAGTGCCAGAGAGATAAGGCTTGAGTTTGCAACAATCGCCAAACCACGCCCGCGCCCGATTTCCTGCCGTACAATTTAACGTCACACCGGTTTCTAAGACTAACACTCTATTCACAATTATAAGTTCTTATCGTCCACGCTGCATGCACTTCTAATTCAAAATATCAGGCCATCGTCTTCTGCCGTTTACCACCGTCCGAAACGCCGTCATCGAAGCCGACACCTCTTGTCCACGTGGCTTCTACCAGCTGACTGATCCACCACAAGTGCTCCTCCTTCGCGCTCTCCATGCGCTGTTGCACCGCCGGCTCGCTCTTGCGCGCGCGCGCCTGTGCGCGCTGCCGCTCGCGCAGTACCCATGCCGGCTTCAGGTTCATGTCCTTCATGTGATCATGCAGCTTCTCAGCCTGCAGACATTGAAAAAAACAGCTTCGTTCTGCAGAACAACACAACAGAGCCCCAGCTTCGACCGCATCGGGCGGCGGGATTATAGATTGAATCCCCGTCCGCGCGCGGGCGCGCGCGCTGTCACCGCTCCGATAGCCTTACCTGCTCCTGCGTCATCATCTGAAGCAGCGCTCTACTGATGCCCCAATAGTCGTACAGGTCCCGCATTGTCCACATGCTAGCTCCACATCCATGATAGCGTTCTTTGTAGAAGAACTGGTCGCACAGTGTCAATCTCTTGTCTTCCGTGCCCTGCCGCCACTCACTCAGCATTTCTTCGATGCATCCTGCAATGAAAGCATACACATAGTTGCTCGTTTCGTGTTTCTGATATCATCAACAGAACGAAAACAGCGCCCAACACAACCGAATTCTGGCTGACTGGTGACGTACAAATCAGATTATCCGTTGACCAGAATCCAAATTCACTGCTCCAACTCGCTCACCCTCTCAGGACAATTGTCTGATCACCGTGATGAGATTCCTGATCCACCTCACTGTAGACACTCCGAATGGCTGGCTCAACTTTCCATGCTGGCACAGTATGATGGCCAACTTCAGAATCACCTCCCACCCTTCAGCAGCCAAAGACAACCTAGCGCAGAGGTTTACAGTGAAAAAGATGAAGTCTTCCGCTTCATCACTGTCCAGCACCGCCGTGGCTGTCAAGAAGTATCTGAATAAGAATGAACAGCGCCTCTCCTCAAGCGTAGCGCTATCTGATGCAGTGCATGCGAACTTCCCCGCCCAGATTCTCGTCAGCAAGTAGAATTTTCTGCTCTGTACAATCAGCCCTGGCAGGCCATAATGTCTGTTGATCGAGCTAGCTGACGGCACGAACAGAAGGACGTAATTGAAGAAGTTATTAAAGGCGCCCGCGCCCAAACAAACAAAAGCCATGCAAGCGCCTCCCTGTGTCTATGGCAGCCCAACTCTTAACAGATCGTGCGCCTTGCACAGCAAGCCGATGCTTCGCAGACCATCGAGGCCATTCACACTCACCATCAGCGATGTATGCTCCGTCGTGCTCATCCATGAAGGCGGCCGCCGCGAGTTCCGCCGACCGAACGAACCGTCGCAAGTCGGCGACATCGACGAATCCCGCGTCCACGTCAGCCCGCTTCGCCCCTAAGCTTAACAGGATAATACGCTTGCACGGGGAAGGAAAAGTCAGGGGACACTGCTCCAGATAAGCACGTCCGGTCTTCCGGCGCGCCAGGCTTCCACCACCAACTGCGACTGACTTATCTGCACAGTGTCAGCCATCCTCTAAAGCCTCCTGTACGAATACCACCTCATGTCGAACTCTTCGATCATGCGCCAGAAACTTTCCCCCCTCAGCACTTTGTACTCGAACAAGAATTGCAGAAGATCTCGTAGTAGCTGCCACTCCGAGGGCCCCGCGCCTGCGTAAAGATCCAAGTGCACGATCGCTGCGTCCAGAGTCGCACACAAGCACTGCTTCGAATAGACACGACCGCGCACCAGCCGTAGCAGAAAATGTTCCCGCGCCGTCCGGCCCCGCTCGTGCTTAGGAAACCGCTCACTGATCCAGAAAAACCGCTCAACGGTGTCCAGCCGCCAGCCCCTTACAATCGCCCTAAACACGCGATCTCCCACCAATCCAGGGGGCAGTTGAAAACCTTGGAAGCGCATCTTATGACATGCGCCTATCCTCGTAGCACTTGTCCTCCTATTTTATGCAGGCGTAATGAACGCCACGAAGCTTCCCTAAAAGGACTGCCTCGTCCTTCTCTCATGGCCTTTTCGAATAGTGTGATCCGTACCTCGTCACCAAGCATCAACATCATGCACGACCACCATTAACGTACACTGTACGGATTGGCGACCTCGTGAATGCCAGCGTGCAAACAGCGCCGAGCATGCACGGTACTCAAAACAGCGCGGCAATGACTCACCAAAGCGCCGCGGCGGCACGCCTGTCCGTGCACGCGGTTTCCAGCTGTACGGACATGGTCGTACAATTACCATGGTATCGGCCCAAGGGAAGAAACCGCAACAGGAAATAAAGAATATGAACCCGGTGCACTAAAGACCACAAATGCTCGCCCGCGCTCGTGAAGCAGAACCGCCTCTGCGAATCGGATCTCGGCGCCCCCGTCAGCAGCATCCGCCATGGCGAGAATTAGGCGCCAAACGCTGCTGTCGTTGAGACAAGATGAGCTGCGGCAGCTGCTGTATCGAGCAGCGCTCGCATGCACTGACGCGTCCTACGTTCAGGAGAATCCACTCGTATTTCCCAGCCAGCGCCAGCGCACACTGCTCTTCAGAATGGGGGCTGACAGGGGTCGTGTGGAAGCCGGCTTCAACAGCAGGCAGGAATTGCAGCAGTTCTTCGACGAGACTCGAGAACACCTGATACAATTCAAAGCTGCTCACCGGCCAGGAACCGGCATCGCACACGGTGAGTATCATCCCTGACTTAAATGCCGCTGTGGATCTTATGAACGTCAAACAGTCCTCATTGCAGAGGTGGATCATCTCCACGGCAAACCAAGGATAACTCTAGATGTCGTCTTTCTACAAAGAGCATGTGAGGAGATTGCAGAAGCAAGCTTCGTAAAGTTCGATCGTAGGATTTCACTGCTACTCAACCACCAGCTGCCGGCACCCTGACGAGATGTCCGTAATAATCTCTCATAAATCTTCATGATAAGCAGCTGGTGTGAATGCGCGATTACAGCGACCATCGTCCACTGAACTGCGCCACGCGGTCGCCAGATATTCTCAGCGAGACCCTGAGCGAGGTTATTAACATCGCTGCCATTCACCAGGTATAAATAACCAGTCATCCGCAAATACAACGCGATCCTCCTGAAATCATTGACGATCGCAACACAGGTATCATCCGAGAGGTTCTTCGCACCTGGGCCCCACCGGGACACAAGCTCCAGACGCTACGCGAGCAACATTATGCAGTCCTTCTGGGCCCCTGCAACATGACCATTTGGGTCCTCCGCCAGCTGCTGGACGTGTACGGCGTGTCCGGCGCCTGCCTCCAGAGGATCCGCGAGCAGTCAAGGGTACGTGATCACTACGTGGTGGTACTCCACTATTCCTCTCAACACGAACATGCGGGCCGAGTCAAAATGAAAAAGCGCCTCGCTCTTTCCTCGCTCTGACAACCTCCAACCGTTGCAAGCTGATCACGTTGTTATAATCGCGCAGGCAGAACGACTTCTCCTTATCGCTCTGACAGCCTCCAACCATTATAAGCTGATCGCGCTAGTAACTTCGTGCAGGCAGAACGACTACTGGAACATCTGCGCACGCTCCCAAACAACTCCCCCACCGAGGTGCTCGGGCGCCGACAGGCCGCGCGGATTGCCGCCAGCCGCAACGATCCCGCCGTGCGCGCGCGGATTGCTGCTGCCCTCGACCGTCAGACGGCCGCCATCACCGAGCTGGTCGAGTTCTTGAACTAGTCAAGGAACAATGAAACGGAGCAAGCAACTCGTCTAATTACGAATCGGCTGAAATAATACTTGTATAAGAATCACACAAATTGCTGCTGCTCGCGGCCGTCAAACGGCCGCCATCAATTAGATACACAACTTATGAAAACAGTCCAATAATAAGAAGATGAAGCGATACAACCTGACCAGATTCGAGTCGACTAAAGGATTATTTGTCAACGAACAGCGCACCCAGTGTACGGCAGTCCTCGACCATCTCATAACGTGCGAACGGTACATTATCATAGTATCCTACTGCACGCTTATGGAAATTGTTCATTTGACATCTCTTTACATCCGTCATTCCAATGCGCATGATGATAACACTCTTCTTTTCGTGAAATACACGTAGCTCGTTGTCATATCAGCAAAATTCACACCATGATCAGGCGCCTGTACAGCGACTGAAAGTAATTTTATGTCCCTACTCTCAAAAAGTAAGCTACACATAATGTCCTCGAAAAAACTGCACTGCGCTCGAGTCCGCAGAACACTATTCCACTGTCGCTTTTCCGCTCCCTCTGTATCCGTTTTCGCCTCTGGCGAAACCGCTCGCCGGCGCCACGTGTCGACTGTACAAACGGTTAACGGCTAACGGCTAATAGCTAACTACGATCGTTTCCGTTCCGTTGCCCCCACGGTCGCCGCCCCCCGCTCGTTCCGGTCGGCCATGCCGCTCACCCCTGCCCGCGCGCGCGGCCGCCTCGGACGCGCCCGCGGCCCTGTCGAACGGCCGCCGCACCTCAGAAAAAGACCCCGAACGACAGATCGTCCCGCTTGATCGCCCGCAGGAACTCTGCTTGATCCCCATTCAGGCCGCTCAAAATCAAGGTGCTCAGGCTCTCCTTCTCCAGCAGCGGCGCCAGGGTCGCCAGCTCGACACCGCCGATATCTCCGCCGCCCTCCAAGCCCAAGTCCAGAACCTTGAGCTCCTTCAGACTGCACAGGCACTCCACGATCTCGTCCAGGCCACTGTCTTCGACCGTGCCCACGTGGATCATTCCAGACAAGCTCGCATATTTCAAATAGGGCGCCTGGCAGGCGATGCTGCGAAAGGTGTCAATGAACAAGTCCGCGTCGCTGCGATAACTGTGATTGTGCCCAAAGACCGACAGCCGCTCCAGGTTCCCCATTATCGGCCACGGCTCCCCAAAAGTCTCCCCTTCGACCGTCGTCTCCTGCAACACCTGGTAAAGCCCTTCCTCGCCGATCATCTGATCGGGCGAATCTCTGTCCACGATAACGAGCTCAGTGAGGTTCGGGAACACAAATGGCTGCACTATCGAATAAGCCTCGCAGACCATGTCGAGCTTGAGATACCGAACGGACTCCCCTCCTCGAATGCTCTCCATTGAGAACATAGGAACACTGTTCTTCACGAACAAGTTCACGGGCCCCTCGCCGAGCTCAGCCAAGAAAAGCTCAATCCCCTTCCAGAGATCCGGGGCAGCGTCGGATCCGCACGACGTAGCGCCCACCTCGAAGCCGAGCGCGCGCAGAGACTGCCCGTTCTTGCCCACCAACAACAGGGCGTCTGCCAAGGCGATCTCGTCCTGCCAGATGTCGTCATGCACGATCATCAATTCCTTCCAGACGACCCTGCACAAGCCAGCTGATTTCACTACATTCAAGAGAGACGTATGAATCTTGAGCACCTCCAGCGACTTGTACTCATCGCAGAAGGAGAAGCTCCCGTTCTGCTTGCTCAGGCACCTCTCAGGATCCACCAGGCAGAGGCTCTTTGCATTCGCCCTAAAGTGCTGTAAGAAACTGCTGCACACCCACTTCGCGTGCCGCCGGTAGTCCTTAGGGCTCTTGTTCTTAAACTTGTCAAGTATGACGTTCACGAGATCGAGCGGCATACGCGCGAATTGATCCGCCATAGCGCCTCGTCTAAAGTCCCCACAAACAGAAGGAGCGCCCCGTCGGAAACTTGCAGAATCGCCCACTTGCTAAGAAGCAGCTTTGCAAATGACCAAACTGGGAATGACCTCAAAAACAACAGCCCTCGACTCGGCCACTCTCGGACAGCGGTCGCGCCGCGCCGCCGCGCGCCAAGCCCAGTCATCATGTTCAAGCTCGTACATAAGTATTGGCCCGCCGTGCTGGACGCATGCAACGAGTCCGTACGAGCTTGTCGCGCGCCGCAACGAAGATCATCTAAAACCGCGCGCCCGATGCCCACGTGAACTTTGATGTCGGCCTCTTCGAAGACACCGCACTGTCAGCATCGTACGCTTGCATGCATGCACGTCTTGATCAAGAAGTACAAAATGCGGTCACGTCGAACAGCCCACCTCATGCAAGCCGACCCCAACGAGCTTCCTGTTCGTAATGGCGGCACTCAGTCTCTTGTTCAAAGAGCCCAAACTCCGTTGAAATCTTCCTCTTTCCCTGCAAGACTGTGCGAAACAAAGGCGCCCGTGGCTTGGCCTTCCTCCGCCGTGCAAAGTGCTGGTGATGCGCGTGGCGGTGCGTCTGCTGAAAGAACCACTTGCGGGCGGCGCTGCTGGTGAGTTATTCTCATCATATGGCTGCTCGATCGACCGCGCAGCTGATGAGACCTACCCACATGCTCGACCCTGAAATCGTAGAACAAAATGAAGCCATTGTGAAATATCCTGCGGATTTCTGTCGGCCCATTAAAGGATCGAGCTTCACTTCCGCCCCTTCCTTCTCGTCCAAGCACAATCTGCCGATTCTCAGCCTTGCTGCAATACTTTGCCGGCCCTTCCGAATATGATTATATGAAAACGTGATTCACGCAGTGCGTAGTTCGAAAGCTTCTCGTTCCTATTAAGACCGTTCTAAGGCATCCTGCGAGATTGTTTCTTCCCTCTCTATACGTGGACTTCGCCCCACCCCCCCTCCCCTTTCTCGTCGAATTGTAGAAGACCAATGCCGTGAAGTCTCCGTAGACGCGCCTCGCCCTTGCTCGCCGAGAATTTTTACAAATAAGCCAAAAAAACAGCCCACAACAACCAGAACTGCTTACGGACTTGATGTCATCCTACTGGGCCGAGCCCAGGTCTAATGACTCACTCTGATCCGTCCGTTCTGGCCATACCTTCCGAATATGTCGGCGTTTAACTGGTTATGCGTGTTGTAGCTGTCTCCCTTGCCGGGCGAGTGCAAATCCACACATCTCTACGACACCGCTGATACGTTTCAGACGCTCTGCTTATGATGACTGCAAACCTTGTCCTCCGGACAAAAATAGTTTGCTCTTAGGTCTGATTTCATTCATGGTTTTTGTTCTGGTCGTGATGATCGGGATTCGCTCTCTTCCTCGAAAGCACATCTGTTTGCCCGGTCTGACACCTCCGATACGTTCCACATTCTAACGTTACACTGACGTCACCTTACATCTGGCACATCTAATTGCTTATTTCTTCATTTTTCAGTGTTTAGTCCCGTTCTCTCGTTCCTCTATATGTGGGCTTCACCCCACCCCCCCTCCCTTTTCTCGTCGACTTGCACAAAACCAATGCTGTGAAGTCTCCGTAAACGCGCCTTGCCCTTGCTCGCAGCGATCGACCCCACCTCACCGACATTGTATTTACAAATAAGCCAACAAAACAGCCCACAACAGTTAGAAGGCCAATACTGCGGAACTGGAACCCTTGTCGGCTTATTGTTATGTATCTGTTTGCTCGACATTCTGTTTCGATAACGGACGTGACGAACTTGATGTCGTCCTATTGGGCCGAGCCCAGGACTGATGACTCGCTCTGATCCGTCCGATCTGGCCATACCTTCCGAATATGTCGGTTATGATTGCTGTAACTGTCTCTTGTGCCGAGCGAGTGCAGATCGACACATCATTCTCTATGACACCTTTGACAGTTTTCAGACGTTCTAGTTATGATGACTGCAAACCTTGTCCTTCGGACAAAAGTAGTTTGCTCTTAGGTCTGATACCATTTCATTTATGGATTCTGTTCTAGTCGTGCTGATCGGAGTTCGCTCGCTTCCTCGAGAGCACATCTGTAGGCCCGGTCTGATACCTCTGACGTCACTTTAAATCTGGCTCATCTAGTTGCTTATTTATTTATTTTCCTGTGTCTAGTTCCATTTCCTCTTTCCTGAAAAATGCTCCCTCCAGCATCGTCACCTCCACCGTTTTCCAAGTGTACCTGAACCGCGCCACGCGGCCGCCTTCTCAGCCGCGATTCACGGCCCAATCTCGCGCTCCACCTCCTTGCAGGCGACCATGGCACAGGGCATCAGCGCACAGCTGCTGATACCGAAGCTGCGGCCGTACCTCCCCGACGACGCCATCATCAGCCAGGAGGCGACCACCGGATTCCAGCAATCTGTCACCCACCCGTCCGCAAACCGCACCCGCAACATGGATTTCCTGGGGACGAAGGGGGACATCGTCCTGAAGTACTGCCTCTGTCTGATGTTCTGCACCGAGAACCCGAACGTCCGGTCCCCCGGGCAGCTCTCGGACGCCGTGGCTGGGGCTGCAAACAACGCGTCCTGGCCCACGTGTACAGGGACCCGCTCGGGCTAGAACCCGAGGACATCGCCGTGGGGGGGGACTACGCATACGCCAACCAACAGCGCTCGGTACACAGGCGCGGCACTGTGGTAGAGGCGTTCCTGGCCGTCATCGACCACCACCTAGGACTGGACGCCTGCAGGGTGTTCGTCCGCAGGGTCTGGAGCGCCTTCTTCCGGAGCCAGGGGGTGGCGTTCACCACCTTCAAGCACTACGACCCCATCTCCCAGATGGAGACGAAGCTAGCGCAGCACATGGAGGGGCAGCCCAAGGACTGGCTGGCGGTCCACGAGGATGGGCCCACCGCCCAGGGCCAATTCTGGGCAGAGGGCGGCATCAAGTCTGCACCGTACGAACTGCTCAGGGGCCCTGTGTACGCCCGGTCCAAGAACAAGGCGAAACGGGCGATCTACACCGAACTCGATTCGGACCCGCGTCTAACGGCCTTCATCACCAACCACGTCAAGCCGCCGAAGAAGAGCAGATTGGCGCGCCCGCTGGTCGCCGCGGCAGATGACGCGGCCGCGGGGACGGGCGCGCAGAGCTCCGCCGGAGACACGGAGGCAGCCACCGGAACGGACGAGACGGACGGAAAGCCGCCGAAGAAGAGCAAACCGGCGCACCCGGCGCGCGCGGCGGCCGGGAACGCGGCCGCTGAAACCGACGCACCGAGCTCCGCCGCGGATACGCGGGCGGCCGCCGGATCCAGCGGAACAAACGGACTGCCGGAGCCACCCGCAAGTTCCGGCACGGCGCCCGCATGAGCAGAATGCTTGCGGATTTGCGGGCTGCAGACAGGGTACCCAGTGTAATCGGATGGCTGGCTCACCGGCGGCGTTACTCAAAGTGCGGGCTGCCATACAGAGTCGTCTCGTAGCAAACGTAGCACAGTTCATTCTACATAATGCTAGAACCTTCATAGAGTCTGAGATAGCTGCTCGGAAACGATCCTGCTGAAGTGTGACGGCGGAAGACACTGACTCGTTCTGTATAGGCCTCCAACAATTTTGTCCCAGTCGCTCAGAACGTTCCTTCTACATCCCAGCCGAACTCAAATGATGACGCTGATTGCGTCGACCTTGTACAGTCACTTTGTTTCTCATCGGTCCTACTTTCGAGTTTGCTTCACGCTCTACCTGCCGCACGCATCGGCGTCGGCGCGGCCGCGCGCGGTTAGCCCGATTGAATTATTCCATGCAAATATTGAACTTCAAGTACTACTAAAATTACGTAATATTCGGTCCGATTACCGTCCGATTGCAAAATCCACACATATCACCCCCGTACGACCTCTGTCCATACGAGCCCGCTTACCCAGTGGCCAGCGTCCTGCATTGGTATGCTACCATCCTGGTTCCACGTGTCACAGCCACTCTCCTAGATGACGTCAATTAATCTGGTGATGTGACTAACTTACACTATGCTGTCCCTGCTCATCACGGCAAAATTAAAAACACCAAGAGAAAACTTTGACACAGGGCAAGCCAAGTCGGAAATATATTGTATAAGGGGTCTCTGACGTCACTAAGCCAAGGGTCCACAAAATTATAATTGTCGTCATGATGGAACCGACTGGAAGCCTCCAGCGTATACCGAGGGAATTTTTCTCGACTCCAAAAGAAAGTGGTCAGCGCAGAACTGAGCCTTCGTACGGGGTTCCGGACACGATCCGGACGGGACTGCAAGACACCGAGTCACGATACCGCCCTCACTTTTCTGCACTATAAAAGCGGACAAATCCAACCATCATTTCTCATTTCCGACTTTCCGAGCTCCGGATTTCTGAGTGCGCAGGCGGCGGCGCCCAGGGTCGACCAGCAGGGCCAAGAAGGTGACGTCAGAAGCTTGCTGACGTAATATTTAGAATTATACAGTGTGTTACTATGTACAACCGGTAAACTTAGCCTAAGTTTAGGCTAAATACACCCTATCTATCGAATCCAACCGGGAAGCATGCCCTGAAAATGCTGTAAACGTCTCTGTTTCCATCCCTGGACGGCGAAATGGGGTACATTTGATTCTGGGGAATGGCAAGTTAGCTGCACAACAGCATAGATTCTGGGTTGATGGCTGCATGCGAAATGGTCGGCTGTGAGATCTGAACTATCATAGAATATTTTCATCGAATCTAGTTTTTGCTGCTCATAGGGTGAGAAATGCCGTTAAGCAGGATCGTGCCACCTTTGTGAAGCAGATCAGACTTGTGCAACAGAGTACTGGTCTACAGGTAAACTTTTTGGGACCTTGACCATGTCATTTGGACCAAATCGGACCTCCGGCGTAGGCACTGTTTTGTGACGTGATGAGATCGCCTAAGAGTAGGCCCATGAACAGGAGCTAACGTAAGGTGCAACATTAGGAGCAGTCTGATGTGTCCATTGCGACGGGTCACATAAGCCTACACATGGCCAGGGTGTCAAATGTCATTCAGGATAGGAGAGGCGGGTCGAAGGCTATCAACTTGAAAGGCAGCTCGGGAGCACTCCTGGTTGATGGCATATTTGCGACGCGTTTCCTGCGGCGCGTCGAATACGCGGTGCGGCAGGGGCTGGCAGTGGGAATTGCCTGCATTTGGGTGCTGATCCCAACAATTGCATCCCCTTTCTCTCGGTGAGATTCCTTACACCAAGTTCGATAGAAAAGAGTAATGATTGATTAAACTTCGCCGGACTGCAGGCTTCAAGGCAGCAACCGAGCATTGGAAGTTTGTCTGCCAAGATGCAGGGTCATGCACTGCTGTTGTCATCTCTTTTTCATTCAATTGTCGCTTGAACGTGAACTGAGAGTGCTAAGATACCACTTTGCATCTGCAATCTTACGCTCCCTTTCCATGTCAGTCACCCGGCAACTTTCACATTCCATATCGTGGGGACGTATGCTGAGCAAAGTCCCCCTGCACAGTTGCAAAGACAACTGCATCTCAAGTTTTCTCAAGCTATCGCTTGTCTGGTCCTCGCTCCAAGCTGCATCGTGCTGAAGATACCGTAGGCTCTTGGACATGGAGAAGAAAGAAAAGTCTGGCATACCATCTGGTGGCGGATGCTGTTTGTGTGCCTGCTGGCGTTGACACGCTGTCTCTCGGCAGGGTTGCCTTCTTGGCAGCAGTGCTGGCACTCATTTCGTGTAACGAAAACTTTGGCCGCACTATTCGAAGTGGTGTGCTATGTCTGCTGGCGGCGGTTGCGGGTGCGCTCCTGGTGACGGCATGGCATGAGGCCGTTGGCACCTCCTACGGTGCCAGCTGGGGAGGCGTCGCGCTCTTCAGCTTCCTGCTCACTTACCCGCGCTTCGACCCGCTCGCCCTCAAGATTGCGCAAGTGCTCAACGTGTCGAGCCTCATCACATTCCACCTTACCCCCACCCTGCCATGGTGAGGGGCGGGGCAGTGCTGCCTGTTGCAAGAGACATGTGCGCTCTAGACTTCCACCAGAGTGAGATCAGCTCTGATAACCAGCACCCACCGCTCGTTCCATTCATGCTGTAGCTTACTTCGTCGCATCAAAAGAACGTTCGCCGCACTTGCACAATGGATGGAGGCATGCCATCAGCCATGGAATGGCATCTGACATGCATGCTTCGGTGATTTTTTTCAGGTACTTTCCTTTCCAGACGGCTGCTGCATGTGCTGTCGGGTGTGGCTCTGCGATCATTGCCCTCGTCCTGCCGTACCCCCGCGCTGCATCTGCGGAGGCCAAGACGCGCGTGGCCACCGCCGCCAAAGTGTCCACTGCCATCTTCAGCTCCCTGGTGGAGTCGTACACGGCGCTCTCGGTGAGGACGACCACTCTGCCCAGCTAAGGACCTCGGTGTCCAGAACCGTCGCGACAAGGACAAATGGTCTGTGGCCACAGAAATTCTGACAGCTCAGCAAATCAGTCCAAGGAAAAGGCAGAACACTCCTCATTGCGTTGCCCCTACTTCATGTTTCGGACCACTGAAGCCAACCATATAAACTCATGCGGACCTTTCCCCCTTGTTGTGACCCGATTCATATGCGTGGTCGCTTGCAGGATGAGCGCGCAACATTCATGCAGCTCCAGGCGGCATATCTGATGCAAAGCGCAGACCTGAACCTGGGCTGGTTTCAGGCGGTCGTGTCCGATCTGAGCTGGGAGCCCTGGGTACGCCGCCGCTGGTCGCGCCAGGTGGCAGCCTACGTGCAGCTGACCAAGGAGCTGACCACCTGCTTGCGCGGCATGCACCGCGCTGTCACGGACTGGGACCTCCAGAACTCAGCGCACAACCCCCTGGTAAGCCACCGGGTGCCCACATCTAGCGTGTATTCAAACGGCTTCGAAGTCGGCTGAGTCGTCCGAGCTTCTGAGAGACATAGAATATGCCCATCACTCTAATAGACAAATGACGGCATGACGGCAAATGTCGTCAATACATTGTAAGGCTGCTAAGCAGTGGTCGCTGCTGGCTTGTCTCATGCAGAAGAGCAAGATGGCGGCCGCCCTGCGGCGCCTGGGCATGTGCACGGGGTACTCGCTTGGCCATGAGGCCGCTCTGCTGCGAGGCGCGCACCACGATCCCCCTGATGTCGCGGCAGCCGGGGGCGCCTGCCTGGAGGAGAGCGTGCTGAGCGATTTCCTGCATGATCTGCAGCTGGCAAGGTTGGTGCTTTCGAAATGATTACATTCGTCACAACACTTTTCGGATTGCAAGGCCACGATGAGCACGTATCTCGGCGGCTTGGTTTTGGATTGACAGGCGGTATTGTCTGGGCTGCAGAGAATATGCATACTACCGGGAGCCGTATACCGAGAACGGGCAGGTGGTGTTCCCCAACGCGCCGCTGTGGGGCATGCTGGCGTCCTCCTTCTTCCTCTTCCATGCCTACCAGTACGCGTGCGCAATTCACAAGGTAAGCACACGCCTTGCAGCATTACACTGGCGCTGACTGGACTAGGCTTCTTCAAGTGCCGTCAAACAATTGCTCGTTCTGCCCTCCTTGCGGGAGGAGGGGTGTGACGTGTGCTGTGGAGGCTTGCGAAGGCAATGACTCCAAGAATAGTCCGTTCACGAAGTGAGGGGCACAGGGTGTGCCTGGCTGCTTCATTCAGTCGACTCTAAGATCCTGATTGGTACACTGGTACAGGCGCAGGTGGCCCTGGCCCAGCTCGGCGAGGCAGGGGCGCAGCGGGAGAGCAGCGCAGGCGAGGACGAGCAGGCGGAAGCAGAGGAGGGACAGGCAGACGATCCTGCGCCCCAGAAGGGCGGCCCTCATGTTGTGGCACGCAAGGCCACGTCCGCTGCAAAGGTAGGCCGCCCAGGCCTGTGAGAGACCTCGTCTGGGTGAATCACGAGGCTAATCAGGCGCTGCTCGAGATGGACCTTGTAACGAGAACGTGCCCAAGTTTCTCTTGACCCAGTCCCGCACGACGCCGGGAGCTCAGCAATCTGCTTGACAGCACCCTCTCAGCCTTCAAAAATAAGCAGCGTTAAATGGAGGTGGTCCGGGGTTTTGTGCTTGGCTAGCGCCTGCCATTCGGCGTGCTCAAGAGCATCAACTTCTGGACGGATTACACCCTCTGATGTGGCCCCACCTCGTGGCAGGCTGTGTGGGCGGGGCTGGTCGCATGGTGGGCTCCGGACGGCGACAAGGTGAAGGAGGCGGTGCGGCGGACGGCGGCCCTCGTGTGCGCGGGCATCGTGGGGCTGGCCCTCTCCCCGTACGGCCTGTGGGCGGCGATCGCGGCAGCCTTCGTGGGCGGGCAGCGCATTGGGGGCTCCTTCAACACGGCCTTGAACAGGCTGCAGGTAAGCACAGACTGCGGCAGAGATGATGCTCGAGAAGGGGTTGAGCAGAGACAAACCTGCATCGTCTTATGCGGCTTAACACGAGGAAGACGCTTTCCTTGCGCGGCTTGAGTCGCTGTGGGACGCTGTATCCCCGTGCGAGGGGAAGGGAGAGGTGGATGGTTTACTACGTGCGTGTTCGTTCCCGTTTCACTCCCCCCTGCTTTGCTCCTTGCAGGGCAGTGTGGCTGGGGCGGTCGCTGGCTTCCTGCTTCTGCTGGCGGTGCGCAAGGTGCCAGCTGTGATTGGCGTCACCCTGGCGCTCTGGGTGGCGGTCAGCGGCTACGTCAGGACCAACGCGGGTGAGCTGCGGAGCTGTGGTGCCTTTGGAGTCGTAGCGGTCTTGCCTAAGATTGCACCGCATACGTACGTTGAGCTCCACTGTACCGAGTTGTCATGCCCATCTGGATGTCGCTGGGAGATTTGTCTTCAGAAGCGGGGCTGTACTGATTGCCATGCTCGAACATGCCACTCTGCAATGAAGCCTCTTTTCGTCCGGCCTCGCCTTGTTGTTCGCCACGCAAACGTTCTACCCCCGCGCCCCGGTGGTGACGATGGGCTGTGTGTGTGGTGCGGCATGCAGAGCACGGGTACGGCGGCCTGGTGGGCGGCTTCACGGCCATTGTGATCATGCTGGGGCAGCCGCCCGACATCCCGCGCGCCACGCTCGAGACGTACGCCTTCACGCGCCTCTACGAGCAGTGCATCGGCATCCTCTTCGTCGTTCTCTTCGACTACGCGCTCTGGCCCGCACGCGCCGTCAAGCTCATCCACCAGGAGGCCACCGCAAACATGAATCGGTAACTTCACTAGGCATTCGCGGAGTGTCTTTGCTGCCTGGAATTGAAAAGAGCAGCTCGAGTAGGTTGCCTCAAATGTGCTGCCAAAGCCGGATCGAGGAATCAGTGGTTTCGAGACCAGCACCTATGTAGTTGAAGGTCATGACGTGTCGATGTTTGGGGCTCGGGGGTGGAAGAAGGGGGCCTCAACGATCGATTGCCTAATGCCTAGATCAGAGTGGCATCCGTTTTGAAGCATTTTTGGCAATTTTTCCTTGACTCCGCGCCGCACAGAGATATACGTTCGAGTCAAGGGAGCTAGCCGCCCCTGCTTGCCAGCAACACGTCTTTGATGAACCGTATCAGCGAATGCGTGCAGGCTGGGCGAGCTGTGGTCGCTGCTGCTGGAGCAGTACCTGGACGCACACACACTGGAGCACCGCCGAGCGGCCGTTGTGGACATCATTCGGCTGGAGGCGACCATCACCGCCAGCGTGGCCAAACAGAAGCAGCTGGCCAAGGTGACGCCGCTGCCTGAACGATAACACAAAAAGATCCATGTGCTATGTTCAACCGCATTCGCTCTCGCTTGCTTTGCTTGCAGCGTCACTTGCCTTCTCGGAGACCGCACGGCGCCCTCTAATATCTTTTGCATGTCCTGCTGCTTTGAAGCGGCTTTACCGTTGAGTATATCGCGGAGCAGGGACGTCTAGCCCGCGGTGGCCGGCTGCTGGCAGTGTTGTGAGCTGGCTGGCGCGGTGTGCAGGACGCGGCGCAGGAGCCGCAGCTGTGGCACGCGCCGTTCCCGGAGGCTCCCTGGCAGTCGCTGATTGCGGGGCAGGAGTCGGCGGTGCGCCTTATGGGCACCGTCCGGCGGACCATGAGCGTGCGCACCAGCGAGGTGCTTGCCGAGCAAATGGGCGTCCTCGTGCAGCCGCTGCGGTGAGCAAAGCCTGGGCGGGGACGCCTCTGGAATTGGAAGCTTTTGATTCGCCGATGGCACTGCTCTGATCCTGAATTAGCTGAGCTCGGTTTTGTGGCTCGCCTTAGTGATCAGTCCCCTTGATATTGCGGCCCGCTCCGACCGCTCCCCGTCAGACCTCGCAGCTGCGGCGTGCTTGCTAGGCCGTGCGTGAGCGCGTGCTGGGTTGCGTGCAGGCCTCAACTGGAGGTGCTGGGCCAGGAGATCCAGGCCACGTTCATGGGCCTCGTTGCGGGCATGGGGGGCCGCCCTGCCGCCGTCCCCGGCAGCCTCACCACCCAGGAACCCCCGCAGCGAAGTTGGCGCACCTGGCTGCACCGCCTGCGGCCGCGCAGAGGGACCAGCGGGGACAAGCGCGAGGAGGGCAGCAGGCAGGAAGCAGTGGGAGAGCAGGCAGGCAAGGGGCCCGGGACGGCTAACGGTGCCCCGCCCGCCAGCCTGCCGGTCAGCCTGTCGGGCCTTAGCAGTGCAAGCAGCGCGGAGCGCAGCAGCCGCACGGCAGACACGGCGTCCCTGGAGGACGGCAGCCCGCACAGCACGGGGCCGCCGGTGTGGCCCGGGCCGGAGCCGGTGCGCACGTGGAGCATGCCGCACCTGGTGGTCAACGTGGCCGCGCTGAGCCC